CAGCTGAGTCAGTGTGGCGACCTGTTGTCTGAGCTCTTCAAAGGCTCCAGCAGTGACGACCGTCGGCTGGGGCTCTGGCACTTCTGATGATTCCTCTTGAGGAACAGGGATATCCTCAGGAGGGGGTTGGTTTGGAGCGGATGAGCTTGCTGGTGGAAGACCTGAACGTGTGTTTACCATGGATTTTGGTATCGTTTCCCACAGACGGCGCCAATGATACTACCAAAAATCGTACTTGCAGATTTTTCGAGCTTGATGACTGATAAGGAGCACGAACGTGATCTTCCGATACCTGAAACAAAGGCAACGAGGTGTGTTCTCGTCGCCCCTCCGATGCTTAAGTCAGAAAGGGGAAATATATGCGTGAGGCTATGTGCTGAAGAACAATGAGAAAACGTACCTAAATAATGGTTCAAGGTTCTGTATTTATAGTGGCAAGTGACCTTCTCCTAATTGGACTCAACTAGCTGGATGTCATCATCTGTTGGAGTCCTGAATGGTTAAGGAGTTGGTTGAATTCCAGAATTATACGTGAGATAGGATTCTTCTGGGAGTTAAGATTCCTAATTGCGTAGGAATTCTAAAGGGATAACAATCGTCAGTAGCGAGGGAGAGCACATTCTCGAGGACTATGCCCGAGGACATATGGTTGCAATATGTGAAGTAGCATGGAGTTGTGGTCGGGCACAGTGTCTCGAGGATGAACATGCTCGAGGACATCGCATATGAATTTACAACTTTATCAAAACTAGTCCTCGGGATAATTGATCGGGGATATTGGAAAAATGTCACCATCACAATATATCATAATTAACACACTTGGTGACAAAAGGCCATAGTCAACATATTAATGAGTTGCAAACTTTTAAAAATGAGTTACAATGAATAAACGTGGCTAATTAATTTGATAATTTGTAACGAATAAATGAGTTGTGATCAATAAAGATTTTTTGAGAGATAAATAGGCTAATTAATTTGATAATTTGTAATGAATAAATGAGTTGTGATCAATAAAGATTTTTTGAGCGATAAATAGTCCGTGACCTATAAAAATTTTGATTCATCACTGATACATGATCTGTGACTCATAAAATTTTTGATTTATGACTGGGTTAAGGTCGAGGTTCACTAGTCACAGATTTGAGTTCACAAGTCACAGTCATTTCATATAAGTCACAAATCAGTATAAACAGGTCATAAATCAATATTAATAGGTCACATGTCGTTTTGTAAAAGTTATAGATCAAATTTATAGGTCACATTTTATATTACAAGTCACGAGTAACAAATCACAAGTTAAAAATCATAATTTATATATCACAATGTACACAGTTCACAAGTTATTGCCAAGAAAAAAATTGTGAATTTAATATATCTATTACAAAAATATTTTTTTGATTAATTATTTCATAACTAAAATTTTAATATTATTTGATTTTTGAAATTTCAAACTTTATTTCTTAATTTTTGAAATTGATCATATGCATATTCATCTCATCTGATTAGATCACAAATTTAATAGAACCAATCATAGATTACAATATCCATAGGTCACAGATTTTATGCAACTGGTCACAAGTCATTACCAATTAATGGTCACCAGAATAATCGCTAGATGGTCGGAGAGGTCGTCGAAATATTCGCCAAAACGGGATAAGTCACAGGAGCTATCGTCGGAAAGTCATCGAAATTGTCCCCGGAAGTCGCCGGAGAAGACGTCGGAGCTGTTGTCGGAAGTTGCGGGAGAAGCTGTTGGAGTCATCACCGGAGGTAAGGTGGGATGGAGAGAGAAAGAGAATGGGGTAATGTGAAGGGTGGATGGGTTGGAGGTTGGGTAGAATAAGTAGATTTTATAATTAAATATTTAATAAATTTAATTATCACCTTATTTTTGAAATATTTTTAGAAATTTGTTAGTTTCGAAATATGATTTTTAAATGAAGGACTTATGTGGTGTTCCTTAATTTCATTTAGTTGGCCCAAAATCAAGATGGCTTAAAATCGAGTTTCCATTTTTACAATCAATTGGAATTTGGATAAGTTGTCGATTGCTCTAAATCGTTGATCTCAATCTAAGATAAATGGTGATGGTTGAGAGTATAAATATGACCTCTAAAGTTTTCATTCTCATTCCAAATGTTTGCTTTTTTTAGAAGGGTTGAGGTTTTCTCTCTTTCTTCTGTTCGTCTTCTCTCCTTCATCTTCAATCTCCAGTTAGACGATTTTTTTGAGTTTTCTGAGTTGATAATCAAAGAGTCTTTGTGATTATGTGAGAAAAATAGTTTGGGGTCTTCGGTTGAGTTCTTTGGTCGATTGAGGCGACTCCACGAGTTGTTCGAGGACTGGGGGTTTGTGGCCACTGTATACAAAAATATACAATATTTTTTAGCCTATTCTATGATGTCTTGATACCTTGGTAAAAATTTGTTCAAGTTGTAATTTTGTTTTGATTTGTTCATTCAGTCTGTAATTTTGGATGATAGCTTAATTTTCATTATATTTTGACAACTATAATCAAATTGAATTGATGATAAAAAGAAATTAAGCCCTTATTTAGTGGACTTTTTTTTTTTTTTTTTTAGAATAACGCTGTTTTAAATAGTGATTTTTTGAAAAAAAAAATATGTGATTAAAAAGTAGAGAAAAGTTCTACGATTATGTGTAAAATATTTTATTGTATAAATAAGTGGTTGAAAATGAGTATATAGGAAAAAAGTATTTTGAAAGAATGTGAGACAAATTGAGGCTAAATAAAAAATTAGTTTTCTTTTCTATAATATAATTTGAAAAACAAAAATTGACTTGAACAAGTTTTAGTTTAACTAGTTGAATTAACGTTATTTTAAGATTCGAGTCATCAATAAGATACCATTTTCAAAGAACCAGAATTTTAACCTTATGTTAGTACCTACACATTAAGGAACAATTTCGGGTGGGTATTTTCTATAGGGCATAGGCCGATCAAATGATATTAGAGGCAAAGATTGGTCCTCAAGTACAAAGTCAAAAGGGAGCTTGATTGCAAGATTTACTTGTCTAGTAGAGACAAAAATTGACCTCAGTGATTCAATGATACCAAATGGACTTGATCATTCAAATTCTTCATGGTCATAACTCTCATGTCTTCACTCATATTTTCAAGATGGAGAATGTCTCACTTATGAGCGGTTGAAGCACAAACCCCCATAACAGAAGTTGGCATAGTCGCGAGTCTTTCTTCTAGTTCCCGGATGCATTAACGTCTTGCTTCCATTCGTTCAATAGCAGCTGGGTTCACGGAGCGAAGGCAGCGTGGTCACCTATATAGGTAGTGATGTGGAGTGGCCTAATGTGCGAGGATGGCATTCCTCCCGAAGGCCAAACTTAACTGTCCAAAGGTGACCATAAATGGACAAACATAGACAAGACACAATTAAGTCGGGCTAGCCAAAACATACAAACCAACAACCAAACACTTATTACACTACAAGGGTTAATTTTCTATCTCATGTTTTGTTGACTCTGAAGGCATAGGTAGAGAAGTAACAACAATTGTATCCCTCCGGCCAAGCACATGCAAAAAAAGTGTCCGCTTGTGGAATTTGGAAATTAGGAGTATTTAGGTTTGAGTGCAACAGCAATGTTCAAAATATTTGCATATTGCTCGGCATGACCTATTATTTTCTCGTACATCAATGTACTTCAGAGTCGTTTTCTCGTACACATCAATGCAAGTATAATTTCTTTTTTCTACTCTGTCATTTAGCTTTATAGGTAATTATGATCACTTATTTTTTTGCAAGAAAAATATCAATCGTCTTTGGAGGTGATGCAGATGCATGGATCAAAGCCACTAATGGCCCGAGCAAAGGTTGTATCAAGGGTTCAGTCCTCCCGAGCAAGCTTCATATATGCTTTGCTCGTCTCACAAATGTCACACTTTAAAGGTTCAAGATATAACGATGCGAATGATATGTTCAGTACTTTCAAAGGGAAGATTTAAGAGTACTTGGGGAGCAGATCAATTGTTAGTGCAAAAAATGTTGTAAATTATCATTTCTACTGGGAAATCGAGATTGGTAACCATAGTCTAAATAGTTCATTTGCCAATGTATATCAGACTCTTAACCTCTTACTCATTTTTATTGCTCGAAGATTCTTAGTTCTGGGACTCAAGAATACTTCACGAACTACTATTCCATTGCTAATTTCAATTGACGACTTTAGATGATTGATTTTAACATTTCAATTCTCTAAGTGATCAATGAGTAGATTTTTAATTTCAATTGGTGTCATTGTTTTGAATATTATTATTAGATTGCTTCTCTAAATTAGGTACATTGGATTTGGTATCCAACCTCCACATAGCATCTACAAAATAATCATGGAAAAAATTAATAAGTAAGAGTTTAACTATAATTCATTTCAAAACTAAGAGTCCTTTCGTCCTAAAATCCGTATGGGGAAAAGACAATTATTCAGCGCATTAAAATCGAGTGGATGGGGTTCAATATTCATGAAAAGCCAGGGTTGAGCCATGTTATGGAACTAAGACAACAATTCTTACTAATAATAAGAGAGTTAAGCTCCTCCAAGGCCTAGAAGCTTCTTTTAGTCTAT